AACGAAAGTACAGAAAATATTGAAGAAACGCGAACTGTTCCGCAACGTCAACAGACATGTATAGGCCTACGGGATTTTGCTAGAGATTTTAAACGCTTGGTCATATCTTACATGCATGATTGTGATCATAGCCATAACGTAGAATATCGTAAAATGGTTGAAATTACTGGCACTAGTCAAAATTCCATCCAACTCACCGCTACATGTTGAACCGGATAAGCGGCTAGAACATTTCTTCGTATTTAACGCATGCGCAACAAACTCTTATCTCAATTATAGCCTAGAGGGGGTACCCAAATTGGCGCTGGACTACGGGGAAATCGGATCTTCTGGAAAATTCCACGAAACCCCAGAAATACACCCCATTTTCAAAACCCTCTCAGGGCCGTTCTGTGAAAGATATCGAAAAACCAAATATATAGTTTTCTTCAGATTAACTTGGACTACCTATGTTTGGAGTTTCAGTTCGTCAGCTGTAAGTGTTAATTCTCCAGGGTGAATTATACAGCTACTAATGGTCAAAATGCCGATTTTGGCGTGTTTTACACCAAATATCTCAATACATGTGTAACTAGATTTTTCCCAGATATAACAGATACACAAGGAGGTAGATCGCGCTGAGTTCTACAAACTTGGAAAGTTTCAGCAAAAGTTATGGAGCCATTTTTTTCGTACTCAAATCGCTGTTATATGCGGCAAATTAGCTACATTTAGCCGTGTTATTATCGCCCCTCTAACACTTCATTCCATATTTATCATCCAGAATGTGAGTTAAATCGAACATTTTGTGATTTTTTGTGTTAAATAGTTAAATATAGGATTTTCAATCTTATTATTCTTGTATCCCAAAAATTATCATAGTATGAAGAAGTGGTATTATTTCAAATATGTTTGCAAAAATTCAGTCCAAAAATGTGGTGAAAAGTATTCATTTCGCACAACAAAGTACCCAGTGTGCCCAAAACAGTGAGGGCATAAGACACATCTCTGGCGTCCACTTAAAAGCAATGCACCTAATTACAGGTAATTGGTTACGAAATTCGTTGCAAGCCTACAATTACTCTTTCAGTGCATGTTAGGTCACAAACAATTCCAAATTACAATTTATTTCATCACTTGGCGTGATTTAACAATCAATTTTGAAATCAAATGTAAATTTCTTGTCACTTTTTAGAATTTGTTCTTATACAGTTTTTATTTTTTTTATACATTTTATCATCAGACTTTCGTTTTTACATTGCTTTTAGGGGATATTTCATACTCAGTAAATGTATTGGTGAAGGTCGCCATCCTATCTTCGCGAAATATCATAAATGTAAAGGTACACGAAATGTAAAAAACAAATCTATAATGGCTTTTGGATAAACTGACTTAAAGGGACTAAAGAGAATTTGAAACAGAACGTTTTGAAGATGAAACCACTAGTAGTTTTGTTTTCTTAACAATCAAGGACCTGTTTTACGGATCCTGTTCACATATAAAATGTTGTCTTTGTTTTAACAATATTAATTAATTTTATCTTATTGGCAATGGCCTAAACCATTGTACACAGGTTATCCTAAAAGGAAGAGAGTCTTTGAAGTCTCAATCATGAAGGTGGTCATCTGAAATAATTGGTGACCTTTTAGAAGTGTCGTACATCTTGTCAAATAATCAATCAGCCTTCATTCTCAATTTTTGTATTTTGGATGACCCTGGCTACAAAGCTAGAACACGTTGGTCAAAGAACAGTTTCTCAAAATCCATATGTAATTTGCCCCATTTCTTTTTTCTTCAGTATATAACAAAACTGCACAAAATGCTCTTTTTCTGTTTTGGGTTAAGTTTGGTTTCGTTTGGTTTTATTTCGTTTAACGTCCTATTAACAGCTAAGGCCTCCCCTGTGTGCAAGATGCATGCGTGTAGAGTATGTGTGTGTATTTTGGGAGGCTGTGATATGTTCGTGTTTGTCTCCTTGTGATAGCGCGGAACTGATGTCGACTTTATAGTGCTACCTCGCTGAAACATACTGCCGAAGACACCCAGCAGGACGCATTATACTGACAACGGGCGAACCAGTCGTCCAACTCCTAATTTGCTGAGCGTTAAGCAGGAGTAGAAACTACCATTTCTAAAGACTTTGGTATGTCTCGGCCAGGGGACAGAACCCAAGGCCTTCCTCACAGGGGCGAACGCTCAACAAATTGCCAAAAGTGAGGCACTGTCAAGGGAGACATTAGGAAGAGGAAAGTTATTTAGAAAAGAAAGAAGAGATAAGGTCCCAAATTTAGTCACCTCTTACGATCATGCAATTCTTACGCCCTACCTGCAGGGGGGAAATAAAAAGTGATGCATGTATCTCTTGTAATCAAGTGTTTCGCTCTTGGCATTTCTCTGCCTAATATTCCAAAAACTGTTCAGTCTGTAGTACAAGCATTGCATACATCTATAGTTCTAGTGTTCCTTCGTCCTGATCATTTGAGTAGGGAACATATTTTCATACAATCCTGTATTCTCAGAAACAATCTTGCGAGACAGAGTGACTGCCATACTAGATGGTATATAAATATTTATATTTAAAAAAAGTGCTCTCAATAAGCTTCAGAGAATGTTTTACGGTGGCCAGAAGGAGCATAATTATCTTAAATCCATGAGCATAACTCTACCGAATGGCTACATTTTGAACACAGTATGACCATTCTCTGGAAGCCAAAATGATGCAAGCATTACAAAAACGTCATAGACAAGCTCACATGGTTTGAGCAAGACGACAATGTAGTCGTTGGTCGTAATTTTATAGATGACCTGTCAATGTTAGATGTATCTGGTATTAATACCAGTATGCACGCATATTTTAAGACTGGTCAGAGTCAACACTCTGATTTACGGGCTAACATTGACAGAACAGTTACTAACTCCCCATGTATTGTAGGGTCTTTTCATTGCCGTATTAAGCACTAGATAGTTTTTTGAACTCAATTAGTATCAAATTGCTTCATTGATAAACTTATGACAGTGCTAAAGATTTTGACTGCATGTCTCAATTGGATACGGGGACCAATTTATCAAAGATCACCGGACACTGACAGAAAAGACAGAGAACTCTCACATCAAATGAAGATTCATCTCACAGAAACAAACTGTTTGGCTCAGAGGGTGAAAACAACTAGCTCTCTCCAAATGAACAGAGTCAAAATTCGTAAAGATTATGAAATATGGGTGAATCAGCACTATCAAGACCTCATCTGTTGCCAGATTTTTTCCAGACACAAAAGCAAGACTAAATATAATGTCTAGATTCAGTACAGCACGACACCAAATAAAAATAATCCAATAAAAGATTACTACTGCTAATGCCCAGTTGGTCAACGAAATATGGGAATGTGTGCCCATACATCAAGTATACATTATCATATTGGCCATTTTAGAATTCTTTAAAATCCAAAACAGTTGCACGAAAGGGCTAAGATGTTCCAACAAATCTTGAAATAAGTTGTTTTCTTGTGAATCTAGAATCACCAGTTTGAAAACAGCAGAATAAATGTATGCACTATTTATTGCATGTGGATAGTATTTTTGCTGATGTTTTAAATGATGGTAGTGTGCAACCATAAACGAAAGAAATGACCGAGTTGTCGCCCTTGGGAGGTTGAAGAAGAAGGAGAGAGGCCCGAAGGAAGAGGATAGCTTGGGGTGGAAAAGCACGGGCGCGAAGTGGAAAACGATGATCTGGACAGGTGTTTAGTGCGGTAAGACACTAAGTGGACATCGTCCGGGATGGACATCGACACGTGTGTGGTCATGCCAAAGAATCGCGAGTGAACTGTTCGTGTTGGCCAATATTCACATGAAATACATCCCCCAATTTGTGGAGTGTGAGACATGTGTCGCGTACGCGTGTGCAAGTGACATTTGGAAGGCAACACCGGTGCTGGGTTACATATCGTGTGATACGATGCATTGTTGTATTTGAAACGATTTACCGTTATTATATATAAATGTTTTAACTTGTTTCAACGCCTCTGTTATATTTCACAGCTCCAACAAACAAATAATTTTAATTATACCTAACGAAAGATCCCAAACAAATTATTCAAAGATCCGTTCTTTTGACACAAACTCAAAAGCATCTTTGTTTTTCTTCCTTCCTTTTCCAAGCCTGCAATCGAACACATATTGCAAGAAAATTGTCTGGGAATCTGACAACTGATTAGGCAGTAGAATGAATGTTTTGGTGGCCATCTTGAAAACAAATATACCAACAAATCTTTTCGAAACAAGTTCTTTGCTTATTAAATATTCATTCCATTTAAACTGGAACAAATATTTCCTTCGTTTATGTAAGTTTCAGTTCAGTCATAATGAATAGACTTTATTACGATGGCCCGTTTCAGCCGGCAGTTTACAACTTAATCATTGATAAAACTGGCCCTTTCTCCATGGCCCTTTTCAGCCGGCAGTTTACACACCTAACATTTGAATTTGTCCCGCACTAGTCAGGGGCAAAAAACAACTTAACGACATAGGTTTTTGTCCCCAATAAAGGAGAAAGGCAAAAGACACACTAAACATTAATGTTTTTGTACCATTGGCAAAATGTACCTACGTCAATGGCCCGTTTCAGCCGGCAGTTTACTAACCCAAGATTGTAAACTGTCCCTAAATATTCAGGGAAAGAAGACAACCTTAATACAAACATTGATGTGTTTGTAACATACCAAATACACCTGTAATATAATACTCTTATGCCGTATCTATAGTTGAATTCCATTCAGTTAATTGGTTGACCACTGGTAACCTGCGATTCGGATAACTGAGCTGTGGTATATGTGGTTTTGCGTCCGGCAATCTTTCGTAGAAGCCGATTGTGTTGAGGAGAGGAGCGCAACATGTAAGTTTACTGTTTGTATGAAATTTAAATTTGTTCTCGATGGTGGTGCAGTTATACGATCACTATTCTGACCAATGCTTCTCTAATAAATTATAGTTGAATTTTCAGGCGATGAAGCGTTACTAGCACTTTCCACAAGGTGCTTTTCATATAAGGAGATATCTGAGTTCATAAGAAAATCCCATGATACTGTGTTAAGGTACGTATCAAGCGTTCATTTATAAACGATATCTTGACATATTTGCCAGATGCCTTATCTGCTAAAAACCAAAGATACGTTATGCGTTTATTCATTTGTGATATACCTTTATTGTTACACCAAACTTAACCGAGTTATTTCGTGTTAACTTGTCTAGTCCTAATGCTATTGGAAAGCGATTGAAGAGATTAGGAGTGCCATCCCGAAAAGGACATACTAACCATGATGAATAAATCATTAAACGGGCTATTGAGGTAATTGCAATTTCTTTTCCATATAACTCATTAAACTAAGTTGTAAGTGTATAATATGAAGATGATATGAGCATTTCAAAAATAGAAAACATCATATGTTAATGCTACAATGAATAACAAGGGTTTTATAATTAATGCTATATTTCATGTTATAACCATTATTACGATACGTCTTTTATATGTTATGAAAGGAACTTTTACCAAACGTACCAGAAACTGTTGGCTACAGATGTATGACGAATATGCTTCGTTTACAAGGTTGTCATGTAAGAAGGTAAGCACTGTGTCGCAAAAAAATATTAAACTATTTTATACAGTATTTCATAACCATCATAATGTTACCCCGTTTAACGTAACGCCGTCACTAAGGCCATCGGGAGTTTTCCTTTTTCCCGCCTTTTATAAAACAAAAATGTTGAAGACAAAGGAAAGCGACTATAGACAGTTTCATAGTGATTTTATCCGAGTTCATTTACCTACAATCTCTCTTTTACCTAGTCCACACATATATTATTACTTACATCTGATGTCTAAGCCAGTTACATGCATATGGTATATATACAAATTGAATTACTTCAATAAATATATAGCAGGATTAAATATAGCAATATGATACAATCACACAATTCAAGAGACAATGTAACAATTGTATAACATACATGTATCAAATACAATTCAAAATAAATCAGCACTAAGTTACATAGAGAATAATACATGCCTTTTTCCATATCACACCCAGCATCAACCCGTGATTCCAATATCAGCCCGACGGCTGATACTGGGTGTGATATGGAAAAAGGCATGTTTTATTCTGTTTATTACATACTTACTAATAAAATACGGAATGCTCTACTATCTTATGATCTATTTTTCTTTTAAAAATATTGAAAACATTTTTTTTTTCAAAAGGGGTGATACGGCGATAGCTGATATAGGTTAGAGCAATTATTTCGTATCGCATAAACAAATAAAAACGTATTTATTAGTAAGTATGTAATAAATTTATATATCAGCGAGCACAGTAAGTATGGTACACTATGTACAACATTTTTGGTGAAATTCATTTCAAGTACACGAGATATTGTGCTGAGTTCGCATATTCCATCAGTTTCATTGTTTGATTTTCGAGGCAGCTGTTCACGTGTTCTGGTGGCTTTTCCTTCGTCATCTCGTTGAGACCATTAGTGGCCTGAATCACTTGAAGTACTCTAATGGTCTAAAAGTTTGGGGACATATTATTTTTGCTCGGTTTCTTATTATTAAGTCCCCCAAACAAAATTCCCCCAAACAAAAGTCCCCCAAACAAAGTTTGGGGACTTATTGTTTTTACTCCGTTTCTCATTATCATTATTATTATTAAGTCCCCCAAACATGGTTTGTTAAGTCCCCCAAACATGGTTTGGGGACTTATTGTTTTTATTCCTCTGTGTTCTTTTTCTTCTTCGAAATTTAGCTGTTGTCTGATTCTGCCCAGAATTGGTACATAGGGGTTTTCGGGGATTCCGAACACAATGGTTATAGTTTTGAAAAGTTCAGTTGCCATGGTAACAAAATGGAGGCCTCTGATTGGTCGAAATTTAGTTTTTTTCTGATTCTGCCCAAAATTGGTACATACGGGTTTTCAGGGATTCCGAACACAATGGTAACAGTTTCGAAAAGTTCAGTTGCAATGGTAACGAAATGGAGGCCTCACATTGGTCGAAATTTAGATGTTGTCTGATTCTGCCTAGAATTGGTACATAATGGTTTTGAGGGATACCGAACACGATGGAAACAGTTTCGAACAGCTCAGTTGCCATGGTAACGAAATGGAGGCCTCTGATTGGTCGAAACTTAAATGTTGTCTGATTCTGCTCGGAATTAGTACATAGGGGTTTTCAGGGATACCAAACACAATGGTAACAGTTTCGAAAAGTTAAGTTGCCATGGTAACGGAATGGAGGCCTCTGATTGGTCGAAATTTAAATCTTGTCTGATACTGCCGAAAATTTATACATAGGGGTTTTGAGGGATGTACATGTATAACAGAATGGTAACTGTTTTGAAAAGTACAGTTGCCATGGTAACGAAATTGAGGCCTCTTATTGGTCGAAATTTAGATGTTGTCTGATTCTGCTAAAGTCTTTTTTAAATCCAACAGGGGTTGTTGGGGGACTTTTGTAACGGCCACCCGTTACAATTGTTATTACTTATTATTAGTTTTATTATTAAGCCCCCCAAAACTTAACAAAGTTTTGGGGACTTATTGTTTTACTCCGTTTCTTATTATTAAGTTTTGGGGAGTTATTGTTTTTACTCCGTTTCTTATTATTATTATTATTATTATTATTATTCTGTGTTCTTCTTCTTCTTCAGCCATGAACTTGTCCGGAGGTCTTCTCAGAAACTACTAGGCGGATAATCATGAAACTACACACATATACTCATTAGGGGGTCTAGGTGTGCAACAAGCTATTTTTATCTCGACCGGAAGTCCAAGATGGCCGCTTTGAATTTTTGAAATTTTTGGGAATTTAAGTTTTCTAAAGGTGTTCGCTAAGGTTAGCCAATGTCACCTATCCTATTTTAAATGTTTTACATATATTTTCCAATGCATTCCAAATTTGGCATGTAGGTGTATGATGGTACCGCAAATACAACTATGACATCCGTTTTCTATTTAAACAAAATGGCACCATATACTGGTTTTTGATTGGTCGAAATATAGATGTTGTCTGATAACGTGAGTCATGTGTATAATTTTCGGTCAGATCACTTAAATCTGCTGAGAAGTCTAGGGGTATTTTTTACTAGTCTTTGTACGGGCATATACTTGTATGCAAGAGTGTTATTATTTCGTGTCCCCACTTCTTTTCATTGTATGTCCGATGAATATGATATCGGCAGTGTTATTTTACAGGATGACCGTTATGACATTACTGAAAGAAACCGACCCACGTGGAGTTTCACTACGACGTCGACGCATGATAGAGCGACGTGTGTATAGATCATGTGGTCCAAATCACGTCTGGCATGTTGATGGGTATGTTAAAGTATTGTTAATGATAAGAGATGCACGTTAAAGAATGATATAAAAGTACAACTATTACTGCACAATTTGTGTTTAAAATATCTTCACATAAAATAGATTAGACGTATACGGCAAATTGTGATTTACTACATGTTAATAACTTGACATTAATGATATTTAATACGTGTTTTATTAGGTAATTTGGAGAAAGTTTATAAACGATTTTCATCACAGTGTACCGTAGTACATGTAAGTGCATGGGTTAGGCATATATCATGTCATATAATGTAAGTAGAGTAATATTTAAAGTGACTTTAGTTCACACTGTAGCATTCTTATGTTATGTCAAATATCCAAATTCTCACATGAAGATAAAATTATCAAATATTTTATTTTCATGAATATATTTGTCTTTTTACAGGTTGTCCAGTCATTTTACAGTCAGATCCGGGTACAGAAAACACAATAATGGGTGCTTTGCAATGTGTTTCCGACATGAATCAAAAGACAGTTTTTGTGGTATCGACAGTTACCGGGTAGTCCGTTCAGTTTTCAATCAGGTATGTATGAGGCAGACTTCAATACGGATTTTATTAACTACTTCTGCTTGTTTAACAATAGTTTAATAGTTTAGCGGGATATTGTCTGCAATGAGTGAAACCCAAAATGATGAATAATACACATGAAACATTTATTTCTGGAGTGTTTTTACAGAGAATTGAAGCATGGTGGTCGATGCTTCGTAAAAGACTAAGTCAGTTGTGGATTAGATTTCTGAACGATCTCGAACAAGCTGGGATATTCCATAGAGGAGATGTTAATGAAACGTAAGGTTTTAAACAATTTTGTGGAGGTAAATCTATTTTTGCTATATACGGTACGTTTTATTCACTGCATGAAAAGCCGCATGTTTTCTGTTCAGCTGCAGATCAAGCGACGGTAAAATAAGTGGTTGATTTTGTTACACACACTCACTGGTATGGCAGAATACACTGATATTTTCACTTGTGCTTTGCACTCGTACCAAATATCTGGACAGTGGATGCAATGTAAACAAATTGAAATATTAAAACATGAACACCCACCTAATGTTATTTCCTTTCACCTCAGATCTTGATATTTCATACACGAGAGCATCGATAGAAAGATAATGTAAGATAATACCCCTCAGCCCCCTGCGGATCAGCCCATCCATTTACAACTTTGATTTCCCACCACCTAAGGATGTTTTCAGTAACATTTGGTTAATTTCCGTTGAGCGGTTCGAAATAGGAAGTCGTTGGAAGAAATTGTTGACGGACGGACGAAGGCCATCACCTACTGCATTAATAAAATATATTACTTGTAACTGAGCGAGATCGGGTTATCTCAGTCGAGGGTTAAGATTCTTTAAGAAAATCCCAACCGAGGCGTAGTTGGCGTTTTTTTTTCTCGCACCTTTTCGTTCGAAAAAAAGTATCCCGTCTGGGGCCTTAAATGATAATGACCTCTTCACTACTTATGCTACATTTGAATGCTTCCGCGTAAAAATACTAAAAATTCTAGCATGGGGTATGACGTGAGATATCTCTGTCTGTGGTGCGAGAAAAGCTCATCCTGTTTTTCGGACCAGGGGAGCTAAAATATTCAATTAACAGGTACGCAAGTCCAATCCAACGTACATGTGTTGTGTCTGCTATTAAAAGGGCAACATAACTCTCCGAAACATGACAATATTCTGCTGAACCATTGCTTAATATATCAATATAAACCCAAATATTGAATGAAAAATAATCTGTAGGCAACAACCGTACAAATATTTATGGACGATATATGAGTGTGTTGAAATGTAACTTGTGCAAGTCTACGTTAGTTCGGTTCATACGCAGATTACCGTGTTGAAAAGTAAGCTGACAATTATGATTGATTGCATTCACATATAAAACTATTATCTGATTATGGACAATATCGTACAATGTATAGTTGGAAGGCTTCATGTTGATAGTCAACCTATCCAGCGACAGTGATACAGTCAGACAGACTTTTCCCAGAGACCCCTTGCAGCAAGCAGCACGTACGTGTTTTTGTATGGACCCTGTATACACTTTCTGGTGAAATCGCTGTATTATACGATGAAGTAAACATGTTCCGAAGTGAAAATGGGGTATGGAAAGGGAATACCTTGTATTGGTTTTAGATAAGCGAATATTTAGGTATGTAGCACGCACTGTATTATTGTAATCTCCTTTAAAGTCCTTGTGAATGTAGGATTTACGGAAAGGAATTTGTATAGTAAAGCAACAGGCGAAATGTGGTTTGTTTAATCTGAAAACCTATGTCCGGCCTTTTTTATTATAACAACAAACACATTTACCCACACAACTCGCACCTATCTCGCTGTAAATGTGTGTGTCGGTCAATTGCCGCGACTTTTATTGAAAGTGACAACTTTATTCATCAAAAAGCAATCTAGTTCTTAAGTATATCACTCGCATCTTATACTATCTTAAGTTGATTAAACCCCACTTGGTAAATAAATATGTATCATTAATTATAGTTTTAAAGTTCTAATGTTTATGTTAGTTAGTTGATAACTACTTCAATTATGTATCATATTTTCGCTGATTTATAGAGTATGCTAGGTCACTTTTCGTGATTAATAGTGTAGTGATCAAAAGATGACTGAAACCAATTGGATCTTAAACAATCAATTTTTTTTTCTTAGTTATCTATATCATTATAAAATTATGCTATAATACCGGAGCTACGTAACAGATTCTTGATTCAGTTTAGATATTTGATGAGGTAAATTTAACATTACATGATTATAGGAGAGATTTAAAGTGAGCCAGACTTAAAATTTCATACTTCAAACCATTGTATATCCCTCTTTAGGTTGATGGATTTATATGTCAAAGAAAACGCATCTATTATAATTCCTTAGTTTTAAGGTCAACAATATCAAAGTTACGATGGCCGAAGGCGGCCAGGCACTTTTGAAGCATTTATAGTTCGTTTGCGTACCATGGTACACTTTTGTGTGGTACACAAACGAAGCATTTATAGTTCGTTTGTGTATAACGGTACACTTTTGTGTGGTACACAAACGAAGCATTTATAATTCGTTTGTGTACCACGGTACACAGTCGAAGCATTTATACATCGTTTCGGTACCGTTAGCCGAAAGCGGCCGGACATATTTGAAGCATTTATGTTTCGTTTGTGTCCCATTAGCCGAAAGCGGCTGGACATGTTTGAAGTATTTATACTTCGTATGTGTACACCACGGTACACTTTTGTGTGATACACAATCGAAGCATTTATCATTCGTTTCTGTACCGTTAGCCGAAAGCGGCTGGACATATTTGAAGTATTTATACTTGGTTTCTGTACCACGGTACACTTTTGTGGTACACAAACGAAGTATAAATGCTTCGTTTCTGTACTGCGTTACACTTTTTTGGTACATAAACGAAGCATTTATACTTCGTTTGTGTACCACGGTACACTATTGTGTGGCCGAGAGCGGCCACTGATAGGAAATGACCCTGAGCTATTAATTTTCCGATTAAAACATAACGGGTTGCCGCCGTGGAATGTTGAGGTCTGTCGTAACTCTTCTGTGGAGGGCTCATACAGGATACGTCTTGTTTATTAAAAAAAAACAAAATATTTGTTAAGATAAAAAATATGTTAATTATCATGTGAAATATATTTGTTATATCTACCGGTACGTGACCTTATGCTATTTTGCTTGATGATTTACTTGACGGCTACCACAGCCTCCTCCACCCCAAAATGGGCCCATGTCCAGAGCGTAAGCGTTGGTTTCATATCCTATTACTGCGATAACCTTTCGAATGATGAACATTCCAAACGCTGGCTAGGTTAATAGGCCAATGCCCGTTTCAAAGTGTACCATGGCCGCTTTCGGCTGTACAATTGGACAGAAACGAACAATAAAAGTGTAACGCAGAAGTGTACCACAAAAGTGTAACGCGGTACACAAACGAAGAATAAATGCTTCGTTTGTGTACCACACGAAAGGGGACCATGGTACAGAAACGAAGTATAAATGCTTCATTTGTGTACCACACGAAAGTGTACCATGGTACAGAAACGAAGTATGAATGCTTCAAATGTGCCTGGCCGCCTTCGGCCATCGTACAAAGTTGACGGTAAAACAGAGATATGTCTTTAAATGGAAATATTTACTCATAACAATATAGAGCAATATTGATTAGTGTTGAGAAGGAAACACAGAGTATCATAACAAATTAAAGTATGAAACACGTGATCTCAAATTGTTTTGTTCAATCAATCAATCAATCAATCAATCATTTAGACAATGTGTTTATTAATATAGCTATAAGTCTGTGTAGCCGTTGTCCGAATCAATTATCTGACACCTGTGATGAATTTAAGCACCGCGTGGAGGAGGGAAGTGACACTCAGTGTTGATGCAAACCGACACACTATTTAATCACGATAGCTCGCATTTCGCTTTAAACACAAATGCAATGCCTTGTGTGAAAACACGCGCGAAATCTATTTTCGGGTGACATTGAAATAGCACACCTCTATTTATAGTCCCCTTCACCCAACATTGCTCCAGACTAAACTTAGTCAAAATCAAGTCAAGTTTCAATTGTTTCCCATTATATTATACTATACATATACATATATAGTGCCGTGTAATGATTATATATTGTATCTATTACCAGATTTGTTAGGTGCAATCACCTATTTTTGTCTTATGTTTATTCTCTGTGACTAAATGTCTATTTTTGTGTCTTGATATACTAATGGTTAGCTAAGAAAAGAAATATCGACGATAACATCCCACATATTACTCAATACTTACAATGTAAAATGAGCAAGGTATGCTTAAAGCAATCTTGATATTTTAAAAAGTATTCCATTATTCCATATAAATAAATGGTTGTCCATCAATATCAAATACACATAGTTCATTGATATGACATTGATGGATGGTGAAACAGCAACTCTTATCACAGGTTGAGGCCAGACCAGACCTGATCCTGATTAATGAAATGCATTGCGTAAATAAATAGCCCTCATAATACGTGCACGAGTTCATCGTTACAGAGCTAACGATGCTTCAAAGCCATTAGCCCCAAACACAGGTATGTACGACCCAGTTTAATTGTTAGACATGTAGGGCCAAATAAGAATGTATGGGTGTTTCCTGTTTCGGCTACAAAAAAAAAATGATAGGTAGGTAGGAAAAACATGTTATTTTGTTTTATTTTATTTACTTTTCTGGTGAAGAAAATCTGATCACCTCCTTGAATGTTAAAAATATTCATTTGTTTTAATTAAGTACGAATGACACGAAATACATAATTTTCGATTCAAGTAAAATAAATACACAAATAAAAATCGCTGCATTCCTTTTTTCTGTGTTGAGCAGGCCCAAACGATACATTGAAGTAAATTTGTATTTGACCCACCTAAATGTATATGGAATAACCAATATTATTTAAATAGTAGTGCTGCGACAAGTGTTACGTTTTTGAAATCATTCTTACTGCTGGACACAAAGTTCAACTCCACTGATGGTCACCAGTGTTACGTTCTTTTTGTAGTACTGATGCTTTCTGTTCACTATTTCCACTGCCACCAGTTCAAATTAATTGATCAACAAATAAAGTACATTAATATTAACAACACATTTTTTTCCTTCCTAAAGACTCCTTTACTCCACTCCCAAACCCAACTCTCTTCTTCTCCTTCGACTCCCAAACTGAACTAGCTTAGTATCTGTCCCTTAGCAAAATCCTATTACATTAAAATAAATGATGCTGCTGAAACCCTGCTTAAAATCGACCTCTTTTCGACTAGGTGAAACTGGCAATAAATCCTGCTAAGGTCAGCATCATAGACTGGATCCCCCCACCTAGACTACAGACGGTCACCCTAATCTACAGATCCCAACCTATATTATAATCACAATCATCTATGGCTACTTGTATATATATAATTAGCTACTTTCTTTAAGTAAAACTCTGACACTGACCACAAGCCAAGGCTGATAAAATACATAGCAAATTATATCTACACTTTGAAAAATTAAACAGCTAATAAAGGCATAACAGTGACTTTTAAACAATTCAATACTATGGATTAGGCTCGGCATGAAAAAATAGGGTCGGTCGGAAAACGGGAAACACAGTTATATTGTTATTTGGCCTTAAGTTGTTGCATTTACCGTATATTCACTGCTGACATTCCCAGCGACGAAGGAAACCTCAACAATTGCATGTGTTTCTCATATATAATCTTTATTACCATATGAACTATTTCAATTGTTTAAAAAAAACATACAAAGCAAATCGAATATTGATATTGTATTGTTTTCAGGGGTGCATGCAGGAATGTGTATAGGTAAAGAATGATGTGAAACAAGGCGAACAAAAATGGTACATTACCTAGGACAATCCCGGCAACGTAAAATGTTTTAGATACTACGTGTAGGTCGTCCAGCTTCAGGTTGCCATCTTCCTCACAAAGACGGCAAGACGAACAAATTCCTTGCGAGGACCACCAAAGTCTTCACTTTCTTCGCCATAAAAGTTTACTTCCAATGGAAATCTCAAATTATGGACTTCAAGAATCTCAGTGGTCATATCATTTAGAATGCTGTTCCGGCCGACGAAAATACATGCAGTTTCTCCGGTTGGGCAAGTAGATATATCATCTACATCAAGGGGTCTCCCTCGGAGAAAGTTGTCCCTGTAACAGCGCAGAATGGAAACTGGCCTATTGCCACTGTAAGAAGACACAACGAATAATAAAATTAATAAAAATATAACTGATAAAATATATCTGTATACACACCATAACAGAATATATATTCTATAATAAAACATATTGCCACTTACATCTGGTCCAGTGTTTCTTTTTACAATTCCATTCTGAACATCCGCATTGTTAAAGAAATCCCCCGGTATGCTACTGAAATAAAAATAAAATATACATTACTACTTAGGAATGCGTCCTTTCATATTAGATACTTTTAAAAATATTACAGCTTAATACTACTTTATCTCGGAAACAGCGCTTGTTTCGATAAATATGAATATGTGAGATATACGTAGATGTAAAATGCACACAACGTTTATATGAGGCGAAAAACAAAAGACTGTCACTGACTTGTCTGTTTTAATTTGCCATTTTCTAATTGTTTATTTATATTAAAAAATCAACCTTGTTTTGTTTATTTCCACGTTCACGCGCACGTGTGATGTGGCGGACACCTCGATGAGTCTCTCATCAAGTCGCAGACATCTATCGTGAAATTTTAGGGTGACAGTCTCGCCCTCATCCGCCGAACCCACTTTGTGTCCGTCGCTCAGATATTTCAGCAGGATCTTTGTTTGAAACAAAAACCGTTATTGTTTTAAATAAATGGCTTGATGGAAAATATGGCACGCTTAGTATGTCATATAATGTATTGGCAATTTATGTAAGTATCAGGTTGTTTGCGTAAGTAGGAACTGAATCCGAACAATTGTAATTGAATATAATCAGAGCAGTTCTAGCATCAGTGCGGAAATTTATATAAGGAATATGTTTCTATAAACAAAGGGATTAGAGTTCCCCAGCACTTTCACCTCTTTTCATACCAAACGAGAGAGAGAGAGAGAGAGAGAGAGATGAAGGATAATTTTCTATATGATCGTTCTAAAATATGTTATACACCAGCTTATACTTACCGAAATGGCTGAGTTATTAGGAAACGACTCATTGCAAATAAATTCGTTCTCAATATAAAAGCTCACATCCATGACCAAGGGAAGTGTGGAATCCATGGAATCACTCTGTTGCTGACGAGAAAATGTCAGCTCAGGGAGATCATCTGACGAGGAACTTGAATCCGTTACAATTTCAACGTCTTGTAGATCAGCTGAATGTTAAAAAAAGAGCAAGAGAAATGTAACTGCACAAACATCCGTAACAAAATATAAATGTTATGATAATGCTCACTTCCTATCCTCTAATGTTCGTTTTCATCGTAAACAACTTAATTACTAACGTGAAATATTAGATAAGAAAAACGAGTATATGTACTTAGTATTTTTATATGATTTGTATAGCAACTGGTACAGTTAATAACAGTTCAGGTGACTGTGTTTTTGTTGAACGTTCAAAGTCTAAATAACTAAAGTTTGAAATGTATACTAACCTTTTTCACAGAGGAAAAATCTGATCCGGTCATACTAGTTTGGGATTCACGAAATTTCTGTAACCTTCAATGGAGAAATCTCCGGACTTGTCTGAGAGTTTATCAATGATCGTCCCGTCGTTGTACACCAAGTAGAACCTTTCACTCCTAGTGTACGTGTTTCTAAATGAACGATTCGAATAGCGGAATTTCTGGAATGAGGCCAATTTAATAGCTTCTACTGTATTTGTGCTTTTTGGAAATGGACCGACTACCACTTGACCTCCAGTTGCAGAAAGGCTATGTGCAGATATTTTGCGAAATACTCCATTTCTAAATCGTCCAATGCCGACTTGAACCTGCAAGTTAAATAACTTTTCTTTTGAAATATCAATAAAAAGTCTCTATGCAGTTGCCGCCATTACTAACACATATTAACACATTTGACACAAATGACACAATCATAAAATTCAGTTTGATCAGTAAAATATTCATATGAAAGTAATGAACCCTACACAAAATTAGATAATAACCATCTCATTCATATCATGACTTATGATATATATATATTCATAATTACCATAACAGTAGCTCGTCTCTCGTGGGGTCGTTGAACCGTACTACTAGAACTGCAAGCTGCTCTCGCATTAGAAGTAGAAGCCCTCTTTCTATTGTTTAATTGTGACCGATAAGTATCAAACAGAGTAGATCTTGCAGCATTTGTTGGAAAGATGAAGATTTGAGTAGTTAAATATTTTAGGACCAAAATGTATTTTGCTAAGAACAATACCGATAATGTATCATGACGTCATCAACTGTTTTCGTTGTGTTTGATTATACATATTTGTATGTTTCATACTTTAAAGCGACGGTTTGGTCCAATATGGGCACTGGATTCGAAAAAAGGAAAGTTCGTTGGATACCTATTACTTAAATTAATATACAAGCAGAGAAGTTATACCGGCAGTGTAGACAATGAGATTTGTCGAATTTCAGAGGCAATCCGTCCCTTTGTTAAGAATAAATGTGGAACAGTTAGATAACAAAAGTCAAATATAGAACCGTATTTCTTCTCAGTACACCATCAAAAGATGCGTTTGATATAATAGATAAGCCTTCCGCTATCAGCCGTCTGAAGGCATATGCTTTAAAATCAGCATATTATTCAGTGGTAGCTATTTTTCTGTGTTTTGTTATATATTTTGTGTCATTTAATTATTCTATATGTTGGTCTTGACAAAGGGTCGGATTGTCTCGAAAATTCGACAAATATCATTATCCGCACTGTCAGTATTACTTCTCTGCTGTTATAAAATGTAAATATATCATGTTCTTAATATAAGGTTTGAAACTTGTTTATGCCTATAACTAAGTTGATATCAATAAGATTTCCAAAGAATTGTATACATAAACACAATTATCTGATCAGTCAAAGACGGTCAAACATAGGTATACGAACATTATTCTGATCCCGTACGGTACATATTTTCTAACTTTCTTACCTACTCTTTCGTTTCAGTGATGTCTCCCTAGACACTTGTCCTTAAACTTTGTATGACCTTACCTGTTTGTAAGGACGTAAAACCCCAAACAAACGAATTCGTTTTCTACTTTTAGTGTCATTTTATGACTAGGTAAATACAGACATTCAAATTTCATTCAGACCAATACTGGTTCGTTAAAATATCAATCCAAATCACAAAATACGTACAAGTTGTATCGCAAACAGTGCAAAAAATCCTTTCACTTTTCCCCCATCCGCCCTCTGGTTCGACGAAGACTCCATTCCTACATAATAAATGATGGATCTGCCCATTTCCCGAGTCTTTATAACGCAATGATGTAATATGAGGAAATGCTGTCCCTATAAAACAAACACGCCATGTTTCAAAATCCCTAGTTGCATGTATTAATAACAATATTAGTTATTATGATATTAGCCTCATTTACATATCAAACTGATATTGTATCATTCTGTCGATCTTCGATGGATCACGAATACATTAAAGCATACACGGATGTCTGACCAAAATATTCACGTTTAATTTGTTTGTTAAATAAGAGGATTGGAAATACATTATAAATGTTATAAATACTAATGTCTAGCTATTTAGTGTATCAAGCTTATATAATGGATAACTAAGTATATCTTAGGTCAATATATTGATTGGCAATAAAAGACTATTATATCGATTTTGATTATTTAAACTAAATAATTACGATTATAACAGAATAACGTTTTTTCTTTTTGTATGTATTAATTCAATTGGCTATTTCCGAACAGAACCATCCCCATGTAGCCAGGTGTTAAAACCCAGAAGCTGTAGAAATACATGTACATGAAGATATAAAAGTCAGGTATTTTTCTATACTTTAGCCAAACATATTTCGGATGCACTGACTGTTAGTACTGTAACAACATGGTGTGCCTTCTTCATTTAATTTATCGTATTAATGCTTTTATGCGATTTTGTTTTCTCCGCAAAAGGTGGGATGGGTGGGGTGTTTTGGACGTCAGGAACACACACAGACACCCAGGCCAATGTAATAACTCTTATTTAAAATAAATCACAAATGATTGGTTATGCTTTTATGATACATATCTTATTTTGTACATCTCGATAAATAGCAATTGGATTCAGTTTATTTTAATATTATTCTTTGGCAAAACAAACAAGGTACTTTCTACAAATATCTTGCTTTGCTCGTTTTTGACCAAAGTGGAACCCTGGCCACTACTGTCTATGCTTTGTTAAAGTCGAATAATAAATCTCCTTGGTCTTTGCCATGACGTAGGAAGGAGGGAAAATATGTGCGGTGTGCTGCATATGACCCCTAACCCCAGACAGCTGATAACGGGAACTAACGGAGATTTATACCTTTATCCCGTCTTGTCCCGACACTCCACACTCGATATCTAGCTCCCTCCCCCTCCGCCACATGAGTATACACAGATGAGGATCAAGGTGTTTTTTTCCGTAATTCCGGACCTGTTCTTATATAATGAATTGTTCTAATGACCTTTGAATTGTTCCATTGGCATATATTTATTGGCTGGAAGAAAACTGTATTTGTGAGACAAAATTGCTTCAATACCTTGGGATTCTGTTTTAGACTCAGCAAAAAGGGTTCAACACATGAAGCTGTAGTTTTTGTTTTTGTTTTTAATTTAAAATCAAGTAAAATTAAGCGTCAGAGCTAGGGGGAGCAAGAGGGAGACGAAAGTCAGCCTCTTATATAGAGGGTGTAGGGGTCAACACAGAATTTTTGGGCAATTGTTGGTGTACGAAGATGACATTTGAGGTCAAATCTCTTCCATTCCTTGCTTATATATATATTAAGTAAAATGTAGAAATGTGTTTTTGTTTCATTTTTTAGAGAAAATGGACGAGTACGACTGCGTTTGTGTGTCCTAACTGAAAGTTGTTGATAATAATAAGATAATAGCAGTCGTTGGACTCCATATGATATGCTGGGGCAAAATATGATAAAAAAAAGAGTAACCTTATCTCATTAAGATTTGATTTTATATACAGATTTAGCATGGTATGATTTTTTTTTTTATTATTATTATTTCATTTTTTACAAGACAAGACAAAACATATATGACATTGTTCCTAAGTACATGATTGTTCATACATATTAAACAAAGATCATCATCATCATCAGACATCATCATCATCATCATGTAAGATATTATTATTAACACATAGAATGGTATGATAGTGCTGTTGATGTAAACTTACTATGTAGCGTCAGCTAGTGTTTCTTCAGATGATAATAAAAAAAATGCATAATCAGTACAAAATTGTCTAGGTAGGTCGGGAAGATTGCTTCATTCTCTGTTTCACCAATTATACCCTCACCCCCTTTCTCTCTCTCACTCTCTTTCACTCCGGTACTACCATATGCAACAATGTAATTTACATATCCTATATGTTATAGCATATATATATTATTTGGTATTTTAGATACCTTATATTTATTTTACAAGATATTTTACAATGTTATGTTATCATTTCATATATCTTATTAAATCTCTTCAAGTTCGTCTTATATTCGAAAATAAACAATATATCAATACATGATTACCATATTTGCATCTCATCCCCAATACTACACTGGTGTGTCTGTTATTTACTTTTAACGTTACACCACATCCTGTCTGACCAATGTTTAGACTAGAGAAAAGTGTTATGCAATCTGATGCATGTAACTATTAAAACATTCACAAACAGTCGCCGTCGATTAGTCAATGTTACAAATCATACAGATACTCATATATATGGCCGCTGTGTAATGTTTTAATATAATTTGTTGATATCATCATCGATTCGATTTGATGATAGCGCTCACTCAATGAGTAATATCAACAATTCAAATTTTCAATAAGTGATATCACTCCTGCTTTTCGAAGAGGTGAGAACGGCGCTCATACATATCAAGCACACGTGGTCAAGGAGAATGGACGCGTAAAAACAAAGCCAGCTCAATCCCAGTTTTGTGGACTCTTCCTTAAAAGGTACGAGCTAAAGTGATGTGTTTTATATACAGTATGTAAAGATTTATCACCTGGTGGCAGTCCATACGTCCATATCTATCCTGAAAAACTATTATTATACTATTACTACTTTGAAGTGGACAGTGTACGGGCGGCCATATTGAACTTTATCATTGTCATTGTGATCTATACGTACGTCTCATTATGGATAATAAACAAGTACCGGTGCTATCTAACAAAGTCAAGAACAGCGTGAAAACACTACAAGGATTAAGTGATCCTGATGTTGTCAAAGAAGTTGTATCCCAGCTTATACAAAATGATTTAATAAAAGATACGTTGTTCGGGGCCCTGGGTATCAATGACCTTGTCAACAAAATGGAAGCACTGGAGGATAGGGTAGATGACCTTGAACAATATTCGAGACGTACATGTATCAAAGTGAAAGGTATTCACGAATCTTCTGGTGAAGATACTGATCAGTTAGTACTGGAATTTTCCAATAACCGTCTGGGTGTTGCAGTAGTCCTGGCGGATATAGGCCGCTCGCATCGGGTGGGACCCCCCAGTTCATCTCCGCGGGACATCATAGTGCGTTTCCTATCATATAGAGTTCGTGCTGCTGTATATGATGCCCGTTTCAGTCTCTTCACTAACCCTGATTCTGAGGACAATTCATCATCTAACTCTGGACCGCGCTGCTACATCAACGAGGCTCTAGCTAAACAGAGGACCCAGGTGTTTATCAAAGCTAGGTTTATGAAAAAACAGAAACTTGTCTCCGGAGCCTGGATTAGGGATGGTAGAATAGTCATCAGAAGTCTCAACGGTGAGAAAGTGCAGGTCACAAAGCTCTCTGAGCTCTCGTCTTATCCGGACCCTCCCGAAAGACCCTCAAAGCCTACCCCTAGATCTGCTACTGGACCCAGAACATTATCCAGCCGAGTACATAACCCAGCTACATGTAGCAATCAAAGGAAAGACAAGGGTGCTAATATGAACTCCAGAGATTCCCCATCAACAACAGGCAAGCCCCAATCCAACAGGTTTACACCCCTGCAACAGGACAAGGAGGATACTGATTAACTATTCTAAGTGACTGTACCAATTTACATTCAACAATTACTGATATTTTCATATATTTGGAATACCATTTTAAATGTATTTCAAGTGTGATGATAAAGCAATAGTTATATATACTAATTGCATGTAAGTA